CTGTAATCATTACAGTGCCCCTTTATTGTACAGTCCCCTTTATATCACAGTTCCCCCATGAACGCCCCCCACCCCTCCATTCCTTGCTGCTCAGTGTAAAATGCCCTGGCCTATTTTTTGTCCCAGTCCTGCCTAGTGGGAGGCTTGTAATGGGGCCACCTACAGCTTGAATTTCGTCAGGAACCGGACAAAATTCACTCCGTGTATGTCCAGCTTTACTGGACCTAAACATACTACTAGACCCATCACACAGTAAGGTGGATGGATGTACATACATTGGCTGTGAGTTTGAGTCCAACCATCTGGATGGAAGGGAACTCACACAACTGTGGCTTTCATTCTTCCTCAAACATTGTATTACCTGGTGCACAGAGCAATAGTAAGGCACACTGAGTGCATCAATTAAGTAAATACAGAACACAAAAAAATGCTTTTTGTTTTAAATGTAGATTGTCCCAGCTTTATAAACTGTCATAATGTAATTCTTAAATCCCAACACCTGGAAACAAAAACTTTCTCCCTTGCAGTGGAGCTTTTTTTTACTTACCTGATTCTCCACTCCCCTTGCAAGTGATGCTCCCTTATGCTCTGGCAGTAGACTGTCCTACATTTAAATGAAATGGATCGGCACTACCGCCATTACTTCAAAATCTTTGTTTTATTAAATCGAACACAGTAAAAACATCACAGGTACAAAGGGTGACGCGTTTCAGCTTAACAAGTCTTAGTCATAACCCAGACTGTCCCTCAGCCTTCTCACATTCATTGCAAGGCTATGAACCCTAGATTGGTCATGACAACATCAGAGGTCCCTAGACCGTTGGAGCACATGGGAGAAGAGGCCGTAGGAACTGGTATAGAAGTACAGGGGAGCCTGAAGTGTATGATCAGGTGAGGAAATCTGCCTTTTCGAATTGCCTAGACAAAAACAGCAAATAAACTGTTCACTTTGCAAGTGAATTTTCCCTAGAGGCTAGAGAATGAGGTGAAGCTCTGCTGCCTTCCTCCATCCAATTATGTGTAAGGAAAAAAACATTTTTTGTTTATTTTCCTTGCATGGGTATTCTTTGCAAATTGAAATGTCGCCACATTCACTAAGATCTAGGGAAAATCACCCAATTATTACCCAAGGAAAACTAAAAAAAAAGCTGTAATTTTGCTTGCAAAAGTTTGGAATATAATCAATATGGACTTTATGTGAAACGCGTTAACTGTACTGTGTCCTATGTAAGGAGTCGTGATTTATGCTTTTATATGAAGACTTCAATAAATGGAAATTTTAACAAGTATTTTGTTGGAGTGCGACCCAAGTTTTATTTTCTACTGTTCAAGCTGAGGCCACTGGACAGGTCTGCACCTGCCAGTTTCCAGACGGGCGGATGCTTCATACACTCACCTGCAGCGGTCTTTGTGCTTTCATTATCCATTGTTTCCTCCTACCAAAACCAGGACATTTTCTACTCCCACTGGCCACAGTTCAGCCCTTTAAGTTTGAAGGACAGTAAACTGGCCCTTTGCTTAGAAAGTTTGGAGACCCCTGGTATAAAAAACATCATATATAGAAGGATCACAGGCTACAGCTTTTGTTATCCCTCACATGATATGTATAATACATGAATATACAACAGACCTGCCACACTGCCACCGCTAAATGACAGATCACTGTAAAGTAAACATGTAATATAACCAACAGTCCTGGGGATCCTGACTAATATCACTGACCAAATATGTTGTGAGCACATTTGGTCAGTGATATCATCCAGGATCCCTTTCTGTTTGTTTACATTATAGCAATATGGGATTTTAGGATGGGGGGGTGAACTGGCCAATTAAAGCAAAGAAACTGCCACGTACCCATTGTTCAGTATACGTGATATTTCTAGCAAATGCATGAATCACTTCTGACAAGTTTTCCTGACACCAAGAGAAAAGAACGTGATGGGGAGGGAGCACACAGGCTGGGATTGACAGCCTCAGCTCTCTTCTTGTGTGCTGTGTGAAGGGGGTGTGTCCCTTCCCTCCAATCAGCTCTCCTTACTGAGCTCTGCAGAGTGTGACTTCAGCTCTCCGGCACCTTTTTCTGAAAGCTCAGACAAACTGTATAGATTCTGCACTTTGAACAGATGCAGAGGAGTGGGTGCTGCAGTTAAACAGGTACAACTTATGTAGGAGGATTTGTTTCAATCCTATGTATCACCTGAGGCCAGTCACTTCACTGGGTATATGTAAGGATTTACAACCACTTTAACCACTTACCCTCCTGAGGATTTACCCCCCCCCCCCCCCCTTCATGAACAGGCCATTTTTTGTGTTACAGCGCTGCGTTATTTTAACTGACAATTGCGCGGTCATGCAATGCTGCACCCAAATGAAATGTACGTCCTTTTTTTGCCACGAATTGAGCTTTCTTTCTGTGGTATTTGATCACCTGTGCGTTTTTTATTGTTTGCGCTTTAAGCAAAAAAAGAAGAGCAATTTTGAGAAAAAGACAATATTTTGGACTTTTGGCTATTAAACATGTCCAGTAAAAAAATTTAAAAAATCTAATTTAGTCATAAATTTAGGCCAAAATGTTTTCTGCGACATGTCTTTGCTAAAACAAATCCCAATACGTGTAAATTAAATGGTTTACGTGAAAGTTATAGCGTTTACAAATGGCAGTATAGATACTGAGATTTTTTTTTTCTACTAGTAATGGTGGTGATCAGCAACTTTAGCGGGACTGCGGCAGACATTCTGACACTGGGGGGGAACTAACTTGGTGTCGCTGACACCCCTGTGACACCAATACAGTGATCAGTGCTACAAAAAAAGCACTGACACTGTACTAATGATACTGGGCAAGAAGGGGTCAATGTGAGGGGTGAGCAGAGGGTTAACTGTGTGATGGGAGTGTTTTACTAGGGGGGCGGGGGGTGTTATTCACTGTAAGCACACTGATCGGGATGTCCTATGCACAGCCATCCCAAGCAGTGTGCTTGAGCTGACAGGGCGGAAGATTGTTTGTAAATAAAACAATATTCCTCCCCGTCGGAGATCCTCGGTAATCACTGGGCACCGGCGGGTAATTACAGGCCGAGACCTGGTGATTGACATCCATGGCCGCGAATGGGGGGACGGGTAGGGCGCGCACACGGCTCATGTGCTCCCCCTACCCAGCAATGAAGAATGACGTATATACACGTGATCCAGTGCACAGGACAGTCCTTAACCACTTCCAGTCCGGACACTTTCACCCCCTTCCTGTCCAGAGCAATTTTCAGCTTTCAGCGCTATCACACTTTGAATGACAATTGCGCAGTCATGCAACACTGTACCCAATTTAATTTTTTACCATTTTTTTGAGACAGATAAAGCTTTATTTTGGTGGTATTTATTCACCGCTGGGATTTTTATTTTTTTTGCTATGTAAATGAAAAAGTCAAAAAAGTTTGAATAAAAGTGTTTGTTTTTTTTTTCAATTTTGCAAATAAATAACATTTCATCATAAATCTTGGCCAATAAAATTTATTCCGTTATCTTTTTAGTAAAAAAAAAAATCCAAATTAGTTTATAACCAAAAATTATAATTTTTAAACATTTTTTTTTTTACATTTTTATTTTATTTTTTTATATTATTATTTTTTATTTATTTTTATTTTTTTTACATACTGTCACCCTAGCAGTACAGTATCACCATGGTGACCCTGTACTACTTGTGGGGGGTGATGAAGATATATATATATTTTTTTTACACTGATTGCTTTTACACTCATATAGAATGTAAAAGCAATCATTTCTCTTTCTCTCTGTCTGCATTCTTGCACTCATTGAGAAGTACTGAGTGAGCTGTTATTGGTCACAGCTTGTCACATGGTACAAGGCTGTTGTGAATGGCCCTGTACCATGTGACCTCTGTGATCATTCACAGATTTCACACGTAGTAAGCAATGATGTCACAAGTGACATCTTGCTTACTACTTTGCATGTGATCACTGATTGGCCAATCAGTGATCACATGATCGAGACCTCGTACAGAGGTCCCGTCCGACGATCGGTGTTTCACTGTGTCCGGAGGACACAGCGGGCACCGGATTGCAGTGCTGCGCACACTCCCAGGGAGCGCGCACAAGCAGGATGCGGGGAGGACGTTTATAAACGGCCACCCGACCCTGCAGTGCCACCGTCCAGCCGTTTATATGCAACGGCTGGTCGGGAAGTGGTTAAGCGGTTAAATCAGAACTCCAGTCAAACAGATACCTCTAATAAGCACCATACAGGATCACTGTTTTACTTTACAATGTACACTTTCCTTCATGTCTGACAGTACAGCTCTCACTTTACTTCAGGCCTTCTGCAGATATGAGAGCTCTGGCTCTTATACATTGAAGTGCTAGTGTTCGTTGTTTATCCACACTCCTCTCTCTTTGGTCAATATACATACATAGTCACTACAATAAATAAACTCACCGGCCTCTTTATTAGGTACACCAGTTCAATTACTTGATAACACAAATTACTAATCAGCCAATCACATGGCAGCAACTCAATGCATTTAGGCATCTAGACGTGGTGAAGACGACTTGCTGAAGTTCAAACTGAGCATCAGAATGGGGAAGAATCGGGATTTAAGTGAATTTGAACATGACATGGTTTCTGGTGCCAGATGGGCTGGTCTGAGTATTTCAAAAACTGCTGATCTACTGGGATTTTCACGCACAACCATCTCTAGGGTTTACAGAGAATGGTCTGAAAAAGAGAAAATATCCAGTGAGCGGCAGATGTGTTGATGTCAGAGGAGAAATGGGTGGACTGGTTGTTGGGACATTCAGATGGTAGGGCCAGAATTTGGCATAAACATGAAAGCATGGATCCATCCTGCCTTGTGTCAATGGTTCAGGCTGGTGGTGGTGTGTAATGATGTGGGGGAGATTTTCTTGCCACTAGCAAGGTGAACCTAATAAAGTGGCCGTGAGTGTAGTATATAATACTATATATACAGTGTGTGTGTGTATATATATCAGGGGCGGACTGACCATTTAGTCACTCGGGCACTGCCCGAGGGCCCGGGGTCGGTAGGCGGCCCCATGAGATGCCCCTGGTACCTTTCATAGGCTTTTTTGGGTGTGGTTTGAGTGTGGGCAAAGACACAGGGGCCCCATGATTGCCTATTGCCCGGGGGCCCCATGAGTTGTCAGTCCACCCCTGATATATATACATATATATATATATATATATATATATATAGTGTATTCTGTGAATGGTTCACAGAACAAAGTTTAAATAACAAATTAAATTAAAATTTTATCAAAATAGGTCATAGTACACATAGACTGCATTGTCCACATGCTTCAAATTATTTTGGTAAAGTGATTTCTAAAACCTTTTTCTTTTCATGGTACAATCATTTCCATTTATTTGGCATTCATAATGTCATTTACATTCTAACAGAAAGCCTTAGTGTACACTTGCAGTTGGGTGGTGGTAAATATATGTGACTGAGCCATGTTTTTACCACCCCCCTTAATTTGCAAAGGCAGCCATATGTGAGTATAAACACGGAAAAAGTTATTCCCTGTTGTGAAGGTGAATGGGGCTATGCCAAGTGAATGCAGCCACACTGCAATCACCCTGCAGCCATTCGGTGCCTTTTAGGCACCATAATGCCTGCTCATTGCCTGTCAAATGCCTTCTGAGAAGTGATTCACCACTGATAGTTTTTCAGAGAGTCAATGCAAGTGAGAACGAACCCAAAAAGACCCGAAAATGCAAGAGAAAAAGAAGTGACCACAATGACAAGTAATTGCTGCCAGCTGCTGCCATTGGGGCTTCTACAGTCATCTGCTGTGCCTGGAAAAGGTGGAAAGAACTCGGGAACAGTGCCATCATGTGGTCAAAATGAAGATGACACCATATTTGCAAGGTAATAAACACCAACAAAGCAATGCCAGCAAAGGCTTTATTATTATGGCATGCAAAATGTCCCAGTAATAAGTATGGCAAATCATCTTGTTCACACACAAATTTAAATGGATGACCCTCTAACATGCCGCTATCTGAGCGATAACTCATGAGGCCCTAAATACACAGACTACACAGGTAGCAGACTTGAGCACATTTCACATAGCTCTCATTTATAAAGCTGTGGAAATACAGCTGCTTTTTAATTAGAGGCTACTGTGTGCTTAATAAATATGTTTTGTGCTATGCTTACTTCAGGACTCTGAAGCAAGGGAAGCCCATTCATTCTAATAAAAAGACTGGGATGGGGGGAGTGTGCCGCTAAAAAGAAGCACCAGTATTTCGATAATTTGTGATAACGCATATACTTTTTTTCACTTTTACCTGAGGCTGCTCTAAAACAAAGAGAGGGAGAGTCTTGATGATAGAGATGTAAGAGACGATGAAAATAACAACTACTTCTGATACTATCATAAGCAGGGCGGACTGACAACTCATGGGGCCCCAGAGCAATAGGGGATCATAGGGCCCCTGTGTCCTTGCCCAAACTCAAAAAAGCCTATGAAAAAGGTACCAGGGGCATCTCATGGGGCCCCCTACTGACCCCGGGCCCTCGAGCAGGGCCCAAGTTTCCAAATGGTCAGCCTGCCCTGGAGTGGAGCTATGTACACAACACAGCACAGGGTCAGTCCACCCCTGATCATAAGCTACAGCGGGTAATGCTAAACATATACAAACTGCATGTATTCAGATTATTACTTTGTGTTTGTTATCACGTTTTTATTTTCTAATGCAGTGTGCACTAACATCATAGGTCAAGTGCAGTCATGACCCTGACTCCATGCCAAGCATACATGTTTTATCAATTGCAAAACTCAGTTAATGCCTCTTTAGGACAACCCTCTGGTATTGGATTCTATTGTAACTGCATTGTCTGCCATTACTTTGTAAAGCCTCATGCAAAATGTTGGCGCTATATAAATCCTGAATAATAATAGTACAGGAGCACAAGTATTCAGTTTGTTTACACAACAAGTTTATGGATCTATGCAAAAGAGCAAACTTCTGTTTCACATGACCTAGAACGGCTAACGTGACAGTAGCTGAGCAACTGCAGACATACAGATAGGGAAAAACAGAGTGACAGTACACAGCGCTCAGACCTACAGGAACACAGCACCAGGACACAACAGACAAACAGGAAACACAGCCCCAGTATATAAACAGAAAGGAACACACAATATAAACAGAAAGGAACACAGCCCAGTATACAACAAATGGACAGAAAGGAACACAGCGCCAGTATACAACAAATAAACAGAAAGGAACACAGCGCCAGTATACAACAAATAAACAGAAAGGAACACAGCGCCAGTATACAACAAATAAACAGAAAGGAACACAGCGCCAGTATACAACAAATAAACAGAAAGGAACACAGCGCCAGTATACAACAAGCAGCCTAGTAATACAACACATAAACAGAAAGGAACACAGCGCCAGTATACAACAAATAGACAGAAAGGAACACAGCGCCAGTATACAACAAATAGACAGAAAGGAACACAGCGCCAGTATACAACAAATAGACAGAAAGGAACACAGCCCCAGTATACAACAAATAGACAGAAAGGAACACAGCGCCAGTATACAACAAATAAACATTCTAGATAGTACCAGGGGCAGTGCCCAGAATATACCACCACGTCACAAATAGAAACTGATGTGTATCCACAATTTTCTCTGATGAGATGTCTCGGGTGAACCAGTTACTGTTGTTGGGTTTTTTTTGGTTTTTTTATTGATGGTTTATTTTTGGGCTTTGTTCCTTTGCCCCATTTTATTATACGTGTGGATGGGGAGGAATAAAAGGTAAAAGGAAAAAGCTATGTATTGTCAAGATGGTCTTGGATCCTTGTGTTTCCAGTTTTGATTGCTCATTGCTTTTGTTATTATGCCTGGTACAGGATCTGCGTATCCACATTGTTCTGTCTATGTGTAATTGTACTGGTGCAGTAATATTGCTGAAGATTCTGTAAACCCTGTCCCATTTTTATTTTTCATTGTCTTGAGAATAAAAGTTGTTTGGATTTAAAAAAACAGTTAGAAACTGAACATACGGACAAGCCAGGAAATAAAGAAAGAGGTTGGTCTTGCAAAGAATAAATGAAATAAAAATAATTTATTTAGAAAATTACTTTAAAACATCCCATGGATAAAGTATCCCCAACTCTAAAAATCACATTACACATTACATATTTATTGAAGGATGACCCTTCAAGGCCACAAAAATTTAAAACGAACGACAGATTGCAAAAGATAGCAGGACCAACCCCCAAAAATTCTTCACATATATTAATAGTAAAAAGGTCTGGTCTGAACATATAGGCCCTTTACAAAATAATCTAGAGTGGGTGACTGGGGACAAAGAGAAGACAAATTTATTAAATACCTTCTTCAGCTCTGTGTATACAAAGGAGCATGGGGGAGCTCTTGTCCATAATGGGCATGGTATTGACACAGCCCCAGATGATCCACATTGGCTCACAATTGATATGATCCAAAAATATTTAGACAGAATAAAGGTGAATAAAGAACCTGGACCGGATGGCATACACCCACGGGTCCATAAAGAATGGAGCTCTGTCATTTCAAAGCCATTGTTTCTCATTTTTAGGGACTCTTTAATGACTGGCATAGTGCCACTGGATTGGCGTAAGGCCAATGTGGTGCCAATATTTAAAAAGGGGTCAAAATCTTTACCAAGTAATTATAGAACTGTTAGTTTAACTTCTATAGTTGGGAAGATACTGGAGAGTTTAATAAAAGACCACATAGATGAGTTCTTGCTGAAAAAAAATATTTTAAGCAACAGACAGCATGGATTCATGAAAGACAGAAGTTGTCCAACAAATCTGATTTCTTTTTATGAGGAAGTGAGCAGAACCTTGGACAGAGGGGTGGCTGTGGACGTGGTATACTTGGATTTTGCAAAAGAGTTTGACACAGTTCCCCACACACAGCTATTGTGTAAGGTAAAGTCTACAGGGTTGGAAAAATCTGTATGTAAATGGACAGAAAACTGGCTAAAAGATCATATTCAGAGAGTAGTGGTTAATGATTCATACTCTGAATGGTCTGGGGTTGTCAGTGGTGTACCCCAGGGTTCAGTGTTTGGACCCTTACTTTTTAATATATTTATAGCTATTTATATTTCATTTAGCACAACACAAGCTTTTTTTATTTAGTTTGTGATTTAGAGGGGATATCCTCTTGGTGTGTTTGCTGCTTTGTACACAATTAGGGTGTGGTATTTGCACAGTTTAATTATTTTTTTATTACAGCTCAGTGGATTGCTTTTAAAAAGACCTGGATTCTTTCCTAGATACGCAGAATATAACTGAATACTAACATTTATAGGTAAAGTTGATCCAGGGAATATCCAATTGCCTTTCGGGGGGGATCAGGAATTAATTTTTTCCCTGCAGGAGCAAATTGGATCATGCTTTGCTGTGTTTTTTTTTTTTTTTGCCTTACTCTGGATCAACCATGGGTATGGGGTTATAACTTTTTTTTTTATGGTTGAAATAGATGAACTTTTGTCTTTTTTCAGCCAGACTAACTATGTAACTATGACCCCTGAACATATCCCCCATGAGAATACTATATAAACTTTTAAATACATTCAGGCAGGCTCAGCACTTCCATAGAGATTACTGGGAATATAACACCATTTCCAATTGGTTTGGTCCGGGAAGTGTTGAAAGAAAGGTCACTTCAATTATAGAGAAATAGAATTAAATCCAACGCGTTTCCCCCTAAGGGCTTCTTCAGGGTAACAAAGGTGGTTATATTCATAATACGATAACAAAACTCATCATGTCAGATATCTGCCTGCTTGATTCAGAAAAATATATATATTTTTTGTATCTAACGCCACAGGAGCATCCCATCTGTTGGTTAACCTTCCAATTCAGAAGATATCCCCCAAACAAATGTCTAGCAAGAGCCCTTATTGGAGTAGAGTGCCAAAGAGGAAAAAATATATACTCTCTCTCAGCATGCATCAGTGGCTAGCGAACCACCTTTTGATTGGTCCAGAGAAGTATGCATATTCATAATCCAGTTTTACTGTAGCTTGTCATACTAATGCCAAAGGTAAC